TTAAAATACAGGGGGGTTTCTGTCTCCAACGGTGTCAGACTGAGGAATTCCACTCTACACACCAAGACCCCCAGCCCAAAGATCAGGGCACAGAAAGGGCTGAGGTGTCAGAAACCATCCCCTTGATGCCAAGGTGTAATCTCAGAGCATTCCTCCCTCCCTAGCCCATGCTGACATCAAGCCCTCTGCACTGGAAAACAGCACTGCTGTGGCACCACACCCACTGTGCAAACCGAGGAGGTGGCTGCACTGGAAGCCTCAGGGCTGACCCTGCCTCAGGTGACTTGTGCAGGCTTTTGTAGTAAACAGTACCACGCTAAGGAATGATGCAATGAGGCAGCAGAGTCAGCAATAACGATGTCACTGCTGGAGATCTATGGGAACAGTAGCAGAGCTTCCTAATGACACAAACCCAAATGAGAATTGTGAATGGTGCAGGGTCAGGGGTATAGAGCAGCATGAAAAAGTAAATATATTTCCAAAAAAAATGAGGCATCTTGGGAAAGCACGTCACTGAGTCTGTGGTGCAGATCAAAACATACCACAGAGTAAGAAAATCTGCAGAATAAACAAAAGAACCTTGAGGGTGATAAACCTTCAGCATATTACAGTGGCAGAAGACTCCAAGGTGTTTTGTGGTTCAAGAGCATGAAAACCAACGTGACAAAACCCTAAACCAGCACAAGCCTGAATGAGCTGGATCTAAAATAATCCTTATGAATTCTGCTCAGCATACTGTAGAAGTCAAATAAAGTCAGGAAACTGTGCAATTATTTGGGGAAGGGAGGAATCTTCAGGGCCACCATATGGAAAAACAACCAAAAAGCCTTATAGTCTCAGGTAGTTTGCTGTTTAGGGAAGAGAAGAACACTGTAGATGTAGATGAAAAATGCAGCTACTCAAGAATAAACATGTTGAAAAGTCCAGCTTTGATAAGAAAGAACAACCTGACCAAGAAATTCTACTGGAGACTACTTCATAGCTGAGCTAGATGGAGATTCTCAGACTGGCTGGAAGGGACAGATTTATGAGACAGCAGAGCTCTTTCCATTTCCAAAATGCAAGGGGGAAACACATATTCTAAGCTAAACACAACCATCTTTTTGACAGCTTTAATCTTACCAGAACACTCCCTCAATCATGTCTTGTAGCAGCATTTCACATAATTTTGCCTCACTGGGAAGAATTTCTATGCAGTCATTGCAATGTTTACTGCTTTGCAGCTACTCACACAAGCAAATAACATGGAGCCACACCACAGAGAGTAACGAGGCTGCCGAACCAGTCTGCACCTGCATGCCTGTCCAGGGCTGTCACAGAGACTGTGCACCCTGTGGAGCCACACTGCCCTCACTTGTGACCGAGCAGCACCCCAAAGAATGTATGGTTTAATGATCTCAAGCCAATGTGAAGGCTATTCCAGCCCATTCCAGTGCCCCACCACCCTCAGAGTGAAGAATTTCTTCCTAAAGTTTAGCTTAAATTTCCCCTCTTTCAGCTTGTACCCATTACTCCTTGTCCCAGCACTGCAGCTCCTGATGAAGAGCCCCTCTGTGCCTTCCCTGTGGGTCCTGTTCAGATACTGGAAGGTCGCAGTGAGGTCTCCACAACAACCTTCTTCTCCAGGCTGAACAGCCCCAATGTTCTCAGCTTGCCTTCACAGAGGAAGTGCTTCGTTCCTCTTACCAACTTTGTAGCCTTCTCTGGACTTGCTCCAACAGTTTAATATCCTTCTTATGCTGGGGACCCCAGAGCTGGATGCAGCACTGCAGGTGAGGTCACATCAGAGTGGAATACAGAGATAGAACCACCTCCCTTGACCTTCTACCCACGCTGCTTCTGGTGCAGCCCAGGATTCAAAGGGTAGAGAAATCTCAAAGCTTTAACATGAGCTCAACATGTCAGAGAACCTTCCCGGCTGAGGTATGAGGAGTCAGCTCCAAACTCAACTCAAGACGGAGCATATTGTTCAAGTGTAGTGTTCCTATTGATCACCAGACCCAAACCAACTCCTTTGATCCTTTTACTTCGATGCTTTACTGGGCCTCGGGTTTCTAGGATTTCTCGTGCCAGGATGGTGGGAGCACCCAGCAGGACCGGACTGAAGGCCCAGTCTGTTCAGCGGGCCGGTCAATCCCCGCTCGGGGCGAGGCAGGCTGTGCTTCCACGGAGAGGCGCTTCTCCGCAGAGGAACTCTGAATTCAAGTTCCTCACTTACGAATTCAAGTGACCAAGACTCCCACCTTAAACAGTCTCTGCCGCTCTGCCGTCACTAAGTGCTTGAGCTTACAAAACCCCAATTCCTTGACTTTTACGAGCAACGGTAGCCGCAGTCTTCACCCAGCACCCCCGCCCGCCGGAGCGGCTTTAAGGACGCCGGAGCTCCCGCGGTGAAGTCGCGGCAGCTCTACGGACTCCAGCCAAGCCTGCCCGCCCCAGCCCGCCCCCGCCCTGTCAGGGAGCCCTTCAGTAACGCAGACCCCCGGCCGAGCCGGGCCTGCGCGGCCGGCCAGGGAACGGGGGTCGCCCCTGCGGGAGCCTCCCACCAGCGGGCCCCGCCGTCCCGGCCCCGCTGAGGGGACAGGGGGCGAGGAGGCCCCGCCCGGCCCCCCGGTACCTCTCGGCATTGGGGATGACGACACCGCCCTGCTGAGAGTGGTTCCTGTTCAGCGCCATCTTTGCCCCGCCGGTCCCACCCCTGACCCGGTGACGGTAGTGACGTCACATCCAGCGCGGCCCCGCCCTGGGGACGCGTTCCCGCTGGCCCCGCCCCCCGCGGCGCGCGCGAGGCGGAAGTGAGAGGGAAGCGAGGCGGAAGTGAGAGGCGGTGCCGCGTCCGTTTAATGGCGGCCGGTTGCTCTGAGGGGCGGTCCTGCCCGGCCCCTCCTGGCCGCACAACGGTGAACAACACACACTGTGCCTACACGCAGTCCTGCTCGCTCCTCTGGCTCTCTCTGCTCAGGGCAACCACGTCTGTTCGCTGCCGTAGTTGCCTCGGTGGAAGTTGTCCAGCATTTGCCGTGCTTGGCAAAGTTTTTCTGGCGAACGGCTTCTGTGCTGAACGGCTTGTGAGCCTCCGAATGCGCTGAGCGGGCCTCTCTGGTGTAAGGTTTAGACTCTTCCCCTCAGCAGCATCAGTCGGGATATCTCAGGGGAAGAGCTGACTTGCTGTGGTCATCCTGGAACTCAGCTGGTGGCGCTCGATTCAGACTTTTCGCAGCTTATCCATTCACAGAGGCTTCTTCCCAACAGTATCTCCCATTGTCATGCCACGTGGGATTTTTTATTTTTTGTATTTGCCGTTTGTAGACTTCCTGGTAGGATATCGGCATGAGCAGATGGCAGTGAGGAGTACCTGAGCATGTTTTTCTCACAGCTTGTACGGATCATTTAAAAGTAGTCTATGATCCGACAAGAAATTACAGAGCAGGGTGTAAAAACCACGTTATTACAAAGAAATAAAAATTCTTAAACCTATAGGGCAAAACACACAACCTTGTCCTTGAAATCCACATTGCAGGCAAAGGAAAGTCTCTCTTCTGTTGCGTGGGTCTGCTTTGCTCTCTTTAGGCAGGGCAGCATTGTGTCCATGCCCTAACCCCTGGCTGGGCCCAGAAGTCATAAAGATTACTATTCTGTAGCCCAGGGTGAAGGGATGAGACGTGGCTTCGTGCTTCTGTGCTGTGAAGAAGCAGAGCCCTGGCAGTGTCTTTGACGAGGTTCACGTCTTTGATGTCCTCGGGCTGAGCAGGGCCAGCTGTGTGGCAGCATGGGTGGCAGCATGGCCAGGTGGTCTCTGAAGGGGTCCATGGAATGGCTGCTGGCACCGGGGACAAGGCTCCTGCTCCCTGCAGGACCAAAGAGCCTGGTGCAGGGGGAGGGTGTGCAAGGCTGCACGCACACACTGCATACAGGAACACCAGGAGCTGTGAGCGTGGGTGGGGAAAGGACGTGGAAGTGCAGGAATGGCCCTCACGTCCCAGTGCTGCTGAGAATGGCTGATTGGTGTGGACAGGTGGGAGTGAGAGTGAAGAGAATCTTTGCTTTGCAGTGACAGCACCAGAGAAAGCCACACGATGGACACATGCTCCTGACAGTTTTGCTAAGGCTTGGAGACCCCCACTGCCAGCCCCAGCACCCACACAGCTCCATCAACCAACATCAAGTTTGACTTGAGTCCTCCTCTGCTGCTCATTTGCTGTTTTCTTCCTCCTCCCTCCAGTGCCAGCCTTTCCAACCCCCATCCCAAGCCCTGCTCTTCCCCCTGCTGGGTGCCAGGCCATGGCATTCCAAGTGTGGCTGGCAACTCTCCTGGAGGGGACAGTCCCTGCCAGCCATGTGACATGCAGAGACAGGCAGACACTGCCAGCCTCAGGACATCTCTGGTCTTCTCCCCTCCTTCCTTCTGCCCAGACAGCCCTGACACTTTTGACCTCGCTCAGGGACACCCAGACTGGGCCTCTTTCTGCTCACAGGTCTTTGCCTTCCCTCCCCATCCCCTCCAGGGAAAGGTAAAACAAAAGCTTCTGAACAGGACACAAAAGCACATTGTTAAGAAGGTGTGAGAGCTTGGGAGAAGGAGGAAACAGCCTGGAGAAGAGAAATATTCAAGTACTTGGAGAAATGAAGGAGAGACTTAAAGGATAAAAAACAGGAAAGAAAAGAAGGAAGAAAGCTACGGAGGGCTAAAAGGGAATGAGGACAAAAGCACAGGAGTGGAGGAGGAGATGGCGCAGTAGGAGAGCAGAGGAACAGCACTGCTACAGTAGCAAATGCAGCCATTTCAATGAGGAGAATGGGGAAGAGGTGTCTCTTGTGCCCCACCCTGGCCCAGTGCTTCTCAATCCATGGCTGTTTGCACTCCTCCAAGATCCCCAAGGTGCTATGCTGAGTGGAGCTGTCCCTGGGGGGGGGTCCCAGCAGGGACCCGCTGTGGCACTGTCCTCCCTGTGCTCACACAGCAGCGGGGCCATCTGTGGGGAAGGGTTTGGCCAGGTGCTGCTGGAGAGAGACCACTGCAGCAGGGGCATGGGGTGACCCCAGCACAGCTTGGTCTGATCTGCACAGAGTCGAATGCCTGTGACACAAGCATGGCTTTTGACCTTCTTGCTGGGCAGGGCAAATGCATCCTCTGCAGCAGGAACACGTTCTTTCCCCCCGGGTTTTGCTTCTTTTGGAAAATATATCCATTTTCCCCAAGTACTTTGATGCTTCTCAAACAGATGCTACAGGCCAAGAACTAATTCTGTCTCCTCCCACCAGTCACTTGCTCTGAACCACAAAACAGTGCCAGTCTTCTCTCATCTACCCTGTTCCAAGCTGTCATTTTCCCTTGGGAAGCCACAGCAAGAAAAGGGGATTAATTGCCAGGCCACCATGCCCTCAGACCAACCAGCTGCCTTTACACCCATGGAAGATCCAAGAGAAATCTCTGCTGGCATCTCTTGAAACATGCATGCATTGACTCCACCATCTCTCCCAGAGTCTCTCCTTGCCTTGTGTCCAAGTGATAAAAACAGGACTATAGCATGCCTCACACCTCCCCCCTCCAAAATCCACACCCCTAGAAATCCTTCCCCCCCACCACTATTTCCCCCAGACAAGATACACAGCTGAGACACAGGAAGGAGAGCAGGGAAGCTGGGGGACAGTGCACTGTGCACAAGCAGACCAAGGATGGGGACACTCTGGGAGGGCCGGGGGGATGCCCTGTCCCTATCTGGCACACAGGGAGGCACACGCACGCCGCACACTCACACTCGCATCCTCTCACTCCCACGTGCTGCAGAGACAGGCCCGTGGCTGAGTCAGGGGTAGCAGGGATGGGTTGTCTGGCCAGAGTCACCAGTGACCATGGAGGGGGAGGCTCTTTCACAGGTTACTTTCGTGGTTTTCCTCTGTCTCCACAGTCATGGGGGGCAGCCCTCCGTTGTCATTCAGCCGTTTGGCCCTGTAGGTCTCATAGTGGATGTTGTGGGTCACTTCTTTTAGGTCCTGAAGGTGGGTCCTGCAGGGGACAAAGTGGGTTGGGAAAGAGGATATCATAGCCAATATCAGAACAGTAAGTATTATTCTTCTGATGATAATTTTATTCCCCAAATAGATGGAAGATTTTTTCAGTCAGTCAGTTTAGCTAATTATTGTTGCCCGTCTTTCTGTATGGATAGCATGGGTGCCATCGTACACAACTGAGAGCTAGAGCATCAGCATTTGAGAACACACAGGCAGGATGCAGGACGTGGGCTGAAGTTCCTGGCTGTGCTTGCCAGTGCTCTGCCCTTCTCTCACCTGTGCAACTGGCCCAGCCACTGGCCCTCCTGGTGTGTCAGAGCAGACTGGGGCTTATCTGAAGCAGTGGTGAGGCAAGGAAGCAACAGGAGGTGTATCAGGTTCACTGCAGATCATAAGCTGCAGAATGCTGCTGTGAGTATCATCCCTGACCTCCACTCACAGCCTGGGGGCTTGGATTGTTACAGGCTTTGTGATGATCATTTGGGTAGGATGTTTTTACTGAAAGACTTTGGAAAAGCAGCTCTGCTGCAGAAGGTATTACAAAACAAAAAGAGGAAAGTAGGGTGATGTCAAAGCATTGTACCTGGCCAAATGTCTCAATTGCACCATACCCACAAGTGGAATTAGCCACAGGGCTTTGATTTTGAACTGTGTTTCTTTTTATAGGGAAGAAAGGTCACCCTGAATCTACAGCTCTCCTGCAGAATCTGTGCTGAGGCAGCTTCATGAAACAGACTAGAAATAAGACAGGACAATGAAAGCTATTGAAATAGGAAGATTTTCACTTCCAGCTGAGATGTTCCAGCACATCCTTCAACCTGGAAGGAAACACAGTCTAGGATGTGGTAGTGACCTCTTTATTACTGACCTGTTGTCAGCAGCAAATAAAAGTTTTTGCAACCAGAAGGGATTTTTTTTTTAAACTTCCTTAATGGGAGTTTTTGCAACCTTGAGAGGGGTGGTAGTAACCTGGTTTTTTCCTGGCATCCAGCTCATACATGAAAACTAGCACCTACCTGACACAGTGCCACTAAGAGAGGCACTAGAATATCTACCTCTTAACTCAATCCAACCCTACACCACATAAGCTTTCACTGCCTGAAATTTACTTTATTTCCCTTTTAGTGGGGGCTATTTAATTCTGACTGGATCTCAGGAAGACTCCCAGCTCCTCAAGAGCAAACTGGTGCATGACCATGACCTTACCTGATGACAAAATCTCGAAGTAGGGCAAATTCACAGTGATTGAGGTTTTCCACTGAAAAGAAAGCAAGCAATTGTTACATTTGATTTTTTCAACAGCCCCTTTGTGGACACAGAGCATGGGAAAGTCACTTCCATGGGGACAGGTTCCAAGTGGGTAGAGCTTGCATACTTCAGAAAGGACAGACAGTTGTCTGAACGCCACACTGTCGAGCATTGGGGAGACACACTAAGAGCAGTCACACATGAATTTTCATTTGAAAACCAAGACAACCTCAGGAGCTTAGCTTCACACATCATGGTGTTCAGAGTGGCTCCAGCTTCTGCCAGGTGGTGACAGTGGCACCATATTGACCATGGCAGTTCCCTCCTGGCACAGGTATTTGAGAATTCTCCTTTTGGCTGGTTTCAAGCAGTTTGTCACAAATGGGATGGGAAGGTAGCCACAGGACATGCTATCTGGCCCCTTGTCTATTACTGTGATCTGCAGACAATACTTTCAGCTCCCATAAGCAAGGGTTTTTTACCTTCAATGATTCCCCAAGGTGTTTTCCTGCCCAGGACTCTTTTGCCATTCACTTGGTACTCCTTGTCACTGCCCACTACTGCAAAGGGCATGCTTTCCTGCTGGGGAGAGACACGTGGAAAGATCCATTGAACCCATTCCAGAGACCAGTACCACCATGGTTCCCCATCCACCTTTCCACCTCTCAGCTCAACAAACACAAGGCCTTCTCTAAGGGAAGAGATTCTCCAGAGCAAAACTTCACTGGCTGTCCTTTTCACCCCTCAGTGCTCTCCCTAGAATTCTGGACTCTTGCTTTCCAGGTGTTCTTGCACCCCAACAAGCTGTGTGGATAGCTTGGAGCAGTGCCAAGGGCTCCGGAGTTGGGGCGGAGCTTTTCTGCACCTATCTCCAGCATTTCTGAGGAGGGGGATCACCAGAGAAGTACCTTAGCATAACCAACAGAGGGTCTGTCAGCCCAGAGATGCTCATATATATAGTTCAAGGTGAGTATTTCTTGACAGATTTGTAGTTCTTTACAATAGAAAGATGGGACTCAAATAATCCTTCCCCATAAGCCCCATGAACATTCAGCAAGTTTAATGGCTGGAATATACCGAGGAAAGCCAGAAATGCAGTAAGTATGCAGCTTTCCAGGGAAGTAGGACAGTAGGTGAAGCTATTGGGGACCCAGATATCTCTAAGCGCAGGGAGAAATTATCTGTTTCCAGAGCACAGAAAGCAGGAGACTCTGCAATCCATTGGGTTGTGCAGCTGTTCACTGCTGCTTTACTCTTCTTTACATTACAGATATCCCTGCAAAGAGACTGCAATTACCACAGAAATGGAGATTAAAAAGCAGTTTATTTCTTATGTGTGAGGGCAATAATGCTGAAGTGCAGAACAAAATGTGGTGCCCTCCTCATCCACCCTTCCCCTCCCACAATAAAATGTTTCCTACCCTGATTTTGTCGTTCTCTGTTTTATCCTCCAAGTCCTCATCAAATTCTTTCTGGGGATAAAACTCAATCCCATTTACTTCTAGTTCCTTGCGCACCTAATCAGAAAGACATTTTGGAGCACAAAGCAGCACAAACCTGAAGGGAAGGCAGTTGGCAAGGCCAGGCAAACACATCTGGGACATCCTTCCAGGGGGCAGAAGCTGGAGGGATTGTCCCAAGGAAGTGCACGGTAAAGCGAGAACACAAGGCAGCAATGATGAGGCTGTTTCCCAACCTCAGTTACTTGTCTGGCTCTCCAGTTCCCATGACAGAACATATCACAAGACATCACAAGGATACACACACTTCTTCCTTCTCTAACAGATGCCCTCAGAGATGTAAACAGCAGCATCTTTAGGACTTAACCCAACAACCCAGCGCTGGACTCTGTGCACACCCTGGGGACTGCACTGCAATCCCAGGAAGAAGGATACCACTCATTTCTCCCACCTCCAAGCCAGTGCAGGGAAGGATCCCATCCAGAAGAGGAGATACTCACTCTTTGTTTGAATTCGGTCTTCTCCTCCAAGGTCATGGTGTCAGCCTTAGCAATAACTGGGATGATGTTCACTACCTTGCTGAGATGTTTCATGAACTCCAGGTCCAAAGGCCGCAAGCTGCAGCCCAAGAAGGAACAAGATGGAAGGGGTCACTTTTTATCCTCCCAGCCGTTCATCCTAATGACTGTCCAAGAACCAGGCCACCAGTGAACCCTCCCTTGTACATACACTGCTTGGTGCCACCATGTTCTCATCTCCTTCTTCCCATCCATTCTGCCCTCTCCCAAAAACTACAGTGGCATTTCTCCCGCTCTTGTAAGCTTAGACCCTTTCAAGCCCCACAGCTCCCAAAGTTAGGCTAAACAGTGCCCAGTCCTGCTGGATCCATGTCTGAGGTGCAGCAGTGTAGGGTGTGTATCTGGCACAGAGGTACCAAGGGCTGGAGGAAGGACAAGGGGCAGTGTACGTACGAGTGCCCTGTAGGGGAGATGAAGTAGAGGCAGCAGTGCACGCGCGTGTCTGGAATTCGTTTCTTCCTTGCAATATTCACCTCCTCTTTCAAAAACTTTTCATATTGCTCGTTGATGTATTTCTCAATAGGCTCCCAGCTGTTAAAGTGGGAAAGAGAGATGAATAGACTGGTACAAATCTCCTCGTGTTCCTGCCCACAGTGTTCCCAGCTCTGACAGGAGCAAAGCAGTCTCAGGCATAAAAAAAAAATCCACCTGAAGCATCTCGCCATCAGCACAGATGATTAAGAGTTTCTGTAACTGGCCACAGAAATAAGCACTCACCGTGTAATATGTGCATACCCCCAGTCACACACACAGACCCATGGTTTCACAGTCCCACAGCCCCATTATTAGTCCCCAAGTGCAATAGGATCCCAGATGCTTTCAAGGGCCAAGCAGATGACAGTCACTCATATACCATCTTAACTTCATCCCTTTCTGGGACACAAGGCCTTGACCTTTTAAAACTCACCAGTTCTCATTGTTGATCTGGTCTCCAAATCCAGGTGTGTCAATCACTGTCAGCTTCATTTTGACACCACCTTCTTCAATGACTGGGGGAAAAATTGCAAACAATCATACTCCTCCCTGGGGACCTGCTCTGTCATGAAACATGTGTTTGTGTCCCACAAGGGAACAAGAGAGCTGTGCCCTCGTCCCTGCCCAGCAAGCATAACCAGACCAGCTTGTGTCATGCCTCAACAGTTGTGACCCTCATTTCCATGTCTGACCCCAGATTTTGGTAATATCTACACAAAAGCCACCTTACATCACTCTGTCACAGGAAAATGGATTTGTGCTCAGTCTGTGGCCCAAAGGTAGTACCTACCCTAACACAACTTCTCCCCTCTAATGCATCATCCTGAATCTGAGATGCTCATTACCCTGCACCACCACAGGAGTTGTGCTGATGCTTTGTGAGGAGCTCTGCACTACCAGGCTTGGGATGGGACCCAACAATGCAACTTGTGTAGCTTATCAAATGTAAATGCAGGTGAACATGACTTACAGCAAGGCTTAATCCACAACTGCAGACTAATGTCTTAGGTGATGAAGCCTCTCTATTTGTCTACCCCTCACTTTTGTCTGTGGCATCAGGGGCTTTTCAGTTTAAGAAAAGCCTTTTCTGTCTCTGAGGCCATCTAAAACTGTGCTTTAGCTTCCTATGGAGAAAGAGCTGCCTAATACCAAAGAACTCTTTGCATAGACTGCTGGGATCTTCTGCAAGACTATGCTGAGGCATCAGTATTGCCTCCACCCCAGCAGCCTAGCTCTTACCGTGCCCAATGGCTTTGATCTCCACTGTCTTGGGGATCTTCTCCTCCCGGTTCCAGCCTGAAGATTTGCGGCTCACCTGGGATTTGAAGAGGGTGTTTACCAGCGTTGACTTTCCCAGTCCACTCTGACCTGAGGATTGCAGAGAGGAAGCTTGTGACATTTGCCACAGCCTGGTGATGACAGCAGGCCCAAGGAACACAGCCAGACTGGCAGGGGAAGAGGCTGGAGGTGTCTCCTTGCCTTGTGCAGGCTCTGTTTTCCCTCAGAGCAACTTCTGCCTGCTCCCTCGTGCCCTCCCCACAGGGCTTGCTCTCCCACCTGGCTTCAGTCCCTGGGACAGTCCCTGGCCATGGTTCCCAGTTCCTCAGCTGGTCTCTGCCTACCTACAACCATGATGTTGAAGTCGAAACCTGTCTTCATGGTTTTCTTGCGCATCTGCTCAATGATGGTGTCGATACCGATGTAGCCCAGCAAGCTGGTGTTGATGCCCATGGGCTTCATTGGTACGACTGGTTTTTGTCGTGGCTCTGGCACCAGCTCAGACATGGCTGCTTCGTTTTTGCTGTCCACTGGTCCTGCATGGGGACAAAGATTGAAAAATCATCATGGAGGTGTAACAACAGCCTCCTTGCTTCTCTGTCACAGGGGCTGAGGGCAGCACTGAGCATTCTTTTCAAGGGCTACTGAGGATAAGTGAATGTCAAGATTTTAGTGGTAAGGCTCATAATGGAGAAACATCTACTTGAGTTTCCAGCACACTCTTCTGTGTCCCACTCCAGATGAGGAGGTGAAGGGGGTTTCATTGAGAATGTAGTGTATTGATGGCTCCCTCCAAACAGCAGGAGCAGGGGCAGCAAGGATGGCTGGGCTGATAATCAGGTGCACAAAGTTCCAGGTGTGTCTCCTTATTTTTGTCTCCTGGTTCTCAACAGGATCGTCAGTGTTTTGCCCCTCCAAGTTCACCATAAAATTTGTGATGGAACAGACTTAAAAAAATTATGTGTCAAGTCCTGGCATTGAAACAGAGTTTGGGATGTACCATGAGGACTTGCATGCTTGGCCCTTGCCAGGGGTGGCCACATTACTGGCTGTGGTGCACAGGCTGAATTCCTCAGAGGAAGACAGTGGTGGAAGTGAAAGCCTGGCCATAATCTCTGTGCTTGCCTCCCATCCATCGACCAATAGTTTTTGTCATACTCAAGAAACTAATCATCATGATCAGAAAATTAATTATCTGCATCTTTCCCTCCTCATCTCTGCTTCCTCACTTCTTCCACGTAAAACAATCGGGTGAAAAGAAAACCCTGAGGGCTTTCCAGCCTCCCTGACCCTTTTTTGGGTGATGGCACACATTGCTAGGGGCAGGCCTCGCCCATTTATCTCTGTCTCATTAATGAGTAGCTCCCACCCGCTGGGAGGAAGCGGAGGTTGGGAGAGGACAGGGCATGGAAGAAAAGCTCTAATTGGTGGGGAAGGCAGGCATGAGGGATGAATCTGGAAAGGAAGATGAAGGGGATAGGAATCAAATACCTTTCATATACAAGCCAGCTGCAAACTAGAGGTTCTCCCACTCTAATTACTTGACTCCCCCATGCTTTGTCTCATTAGAGGGTTATTTTTCCAGGATAGAGACAGAATGCATTTTTGCTTGGTAAGTACTTCATTTGTTTTGGATGCCACTTCAGTTCAAGTATCTCACACTAAATTATCCCTTTCCATCATGTTGGCAGAGGTTTTTTTCTCCACTTATCAGAATCCACTGGCAGCAGAAAAGAACATGAGCGGCTAGGCAGGCAACTGCCATTTGGTGGTGACACATGCCCCTCTTCACAAGGAAAATGACTCAGAAGTCACTGGACTGGTGAAATTGATGGCACCAATCTGGGGTTCCTGTCACAGCTTAGTCAAGCCAGGCAGAGACAGACTGAGAAGAGGTCAGAGAGATTTTGTTCAAGGACAGGGTTAGGCTGGAGCAGGCTCCATGGCTGAATGAGGACCCTGCCTGGCACTCCCACATAAAAGCTCCGGTGCTGACACAAGGGCTCCTTTACACAGTGAAGATTTTACATTTCTTATAAGCTGTAATATTCCACTGTCACGTGCTAAGGAAAGACATTGTGGAAGGGTCACCCTTGACAGGGGGAAGGGTGCCTCCACCCAGCTCCTTTTCACCGCTTCGGAAGTCTTTTATATTAAACTGGGAGAAGGAGTGAGTTTTCCCCTGTGTGAGACGATGGTAGCACAGCCACTCATGTACAGCACTGTGGGTAACATCTGAAGGCTCTTGTGCCACCTCTGTTCCACCTTGCCCACACAGGAGAGGTCAGTGGCAGGATGGCCCCCCTCCTGCTTTTCCCCACCGAGTGAAGGCACCCTGAACTATCATCAGCCTCTCCTGAAGCAGCGAGCAGCACCCTGGGGCAACCAGAGCACAAGATGGACCATTGGCTTGAGTCAGACTGGCAATTTGGAGCACCTCACGCTGCCAGGCAGCTGCTGGAGGAGGCAGCCTGCCACACCAAGTGCTTCTCAGCTGCAATCCTCTCTCACACCCATCACAACTAGTATGTGCCTTTCCTGCTGACAAAGCATCCCTTGAGGCTCCCGTTGTCTTTTTTCAGATTTATCAAAGCTGATGTGAGCCAGGAAAGCCCATCTCTCTGGTACAGCACAGGGGGCCAGGCCAGCCAGTTCTCCTGCACCCTACCCTTTACTCACTCTGCCAGGCTGCCCACATCATCTATATCCTGTATGGTTGTGTGGCTGTGCTGTGTCCCTTTTGCTGCTGCAGCGTTCTCCACATACACCCCACACAGCCCTGCTGGGCTCCTACCTAGCCCTAAGAGTGGGAGAAGAGAGAGAAACAGAACAATGAGGGAATTAGGGCCAGGGGGCTGTGGCCCCAGTGAGGCACTTGGCTACTGGAGAAATGGGGGCAAATAAACTCCAAAGGTAGAAGGGAACAGGTCAAGATGGAAAGAAAGCCCAGCTGAGCAGCTGCATGGGATGGGTGCAGAACAGGGGTCATGTGGGCTGTGACCCTTTCAGTGCCTGGGTGGTAGCTTGTCCTCAGGGAATCTGTCACCCTCTCCTTTATTCCTTCAACCCTTGTTCTTACACAGGGAAGAGGAAGGAGGGAATTTGCTGTCAGCCTCAAGGCTCACTAAGAGGTTCATAATTCATCCCTCAATCTCACCAAGGAAAGCCTCGCCCAGAGCCAGGAGATGTTGCTAACTGCTGTGGACATGATAATGCAAGACCATTCCTTTGCAAGCTTCAGTGTTGGAGCCAGGAGCTTGCAGTGACTAGGGTAGATATTTCAGATTCAGGTTCTTGGGCAGCTATAGAAAACCCTGAGACCAGGCGAAAGCCATCTGCTTTTCTCCTCTAGGTCATTTGCCTTCTTCTCTGTGTGGGGTTCCTTCCCATACAGCCTCAGGCAGGGAAGGCCCCATTTTGCAGAAATTTGCCCAGGGTTCATCTTTCTGCACATGACTTTTCACCTTTTGCCTCCCACAGATTAATTCAAGGAGCCAGCTGAGGAACAGCCTGCTGGGCTGTGCAAAACCAGGATCAGAGCTGTCCCTGAGACATGAAACATGCCTGCCTGCTCTCCTGGGAGTGGTTCTGTTTTATGTGCACTAAAGCTAATGGTTCTAGCCCCCTGAGCACACTGAGTGGCTGATCAAGGGGTGGCATTCTGTGTCCTGGGCTCATCCAGTAGCCCTTGCAGCTGTCCCCTGTAATGACTCAGTGAGAGGGCACTACAGCCAGCACAGCTGATAATGAATAGAGGGCTAGCCAAGGTTAACCACTTACATATGCTGTTTACAAGGCCCCCCTTTTCCCTGCTGCTTTGTTCTGTGTGCTAAGAGAAGCTCATTTAAGAGGGCTGTAGCTGGTGATGCCCCCCCTGCTGCCCAGATCCGGTAGGAGGTGGCCCTGGGTTGGGCTGTTAGGGAATATTATCTGGCTCACAGGAGATGCTCCATGTGACTGGATCAAGGGACGGCACAGCTTTTGAGGCAGGGACAGGCAGAACCACAATGAGTGCCCAGAGAGGTCCCCATGGTCCCAGCTAGCTCCTGCTTCTGACACCCACTGATCCACCCCAGAACCTCCTCCTGGAAGGCCAGCATATGTGGCCAGCAGCAGACACCACCACTGATCTACCACCCTTCGTGCTCTGATGTTCACAGGACCTGTGTGGGGACAGAGGTGGCCTTGCAGGTCCCTTGGGGGCTCAGGTAGTGGGGACCAACATCTACTATGTCCTGATAACCCAGATACAGTCGCATCCCCTCCCCCTGCCTTCCCATCCTTTGTCTGGCAAGAGGGAGGGAGAGCTGCAAACAGTGCTCACCACAAACCAGCTTCCAGCAAGGAAAAGCTATTTAACCCTCACATAACACATGGATGGCCTCGCTGCAGCTCTCCTCTGGTGCAGCACAAGGTTGTCCCTCTGCAGCTGGAGGCAGTGATCCTCACTCACATCTCACCCCAGCCCCTTCCACCCATTTGGCTCTGGACGTCCTCCCTGTTCCATGTAGACAAGGAACAGGGAGGAGGAATGGGTTCAAAACCTGAAGGTGGCTGGCAGAAGCAGGCCCTCAAAGGGTGATGCCAGGTTCCTAGGAAAGAAAGCAAGCAGCTGCTTCAGCAGTACAGCCTCCCTGGAGCTCATGGCCATCAGGACCTGCTCCTTGCTTTGCTTCAGATCCACAGAGGTGCTGCACTGAGCATCTCTCCACTGGAAAAATGCCTTTCCCTCCTCAGTTCCTGTGATGACCCCAGGGCATTTCTTTCAGCTGTGCAGCGCAATGGCTGAGCCCTGCCGGATGTACTGCCTGACCTCAGAGTACAGAACAGAACCATTCTCCTTACCAGATCTTTTTTCCTGGCTTGAAGATCACCCCAATCCTCTGGGCTGCTGCAGCCTTCCCGACAGCAGCCTTTCTTCCCCTCAGCACTCTGCAAAGGGCTTGGGCAAGAGCCCGGCTGCAGTGAAATCTAGGGCAGCGTGTGCTGAAGCCTCTCTGGAGATGCAGAAGCTGGAGGTGAAGGAGCTGGGCACATCCCAGCCCAGCCACCACAGCCCCAGCCATGCCCTTGGTGCTGCTCTCCAGCCATACAATCCTTGTCCCATGTCCCAGCTCACCCCCTGGGTGCCACAGCTGTATCACACGGCGAGAGGATGCTGAGCACCCCTGGACCATGGCAGCCACACCACCACAGCTGCCTGTGCCCCTGCCTGCAAGCCTGCTGGCTCCTGTGCAGATGCTCAGGGAGAGGCACAGCACATCCCCACTGCCTGTCACTGGCAAGGGACAAGCCAGGTGCCTGTGGCACTACCCAGCTGGATTATCCCTTCCTTTCAAAGCAGTGCCTGGCACTAGCTACTCCCCATCAGCACCACGACCAGCCCTGCTCCTTCTCCTTCATACAAGGAGAACAAACAGAGGAAAGACAAAGCCGAGACCGATTTCCCCCACTGCCCTCCAGGGTTATCCCTCCCCCATGCCCAGAGCTGGGCAGCGTGGGGGCACACAGAGGATGCCTGCGCAAAAAGCCCCAGCGGTGTCCCTCTGGCGTTGCCCAGCCCTGCCAAGCCTGGAGCATCCTACCTTTGAACATGAAGCTTCCTTTGTCTCCGAATCCTCTCCCGAGGGGGTGGGTCTCCCCCCACTTTTCTAGCCTGACGCTGATGAAGCAGCACGGTGGGCTACAAAGCTCCACTTGCTTTTACCTTTGTCTTTCTTCCCTGTGTCCTCTTGTCCCCCCTCTCTCCTTCCCTTCCTTCTCCAGTGGCTATTTCAGCAGAGCGGGGATGCTGGTGCTGCTCCTGCTGCCATCGTCATGTGACCTGAATATTAAACATCTCCGCAAAATCTCCCCCCGCGCACCTTCCCCCGGCTCCATCCCAGGCCCCCGGCTCCATCCCAGGCCCCCGGCAGCCTCCCTGACTTGCGGGGGGGGCATGGCCTCGGGCTGGAGGGGCCGCTGCCGATGGGGCCCCCGTGTCCTGGAGGGGCCCTCACTGCACACCCACACCCCCCCCCAGGCCTTTTCTTGCCCTTTTCCCTCCCAATTCCCCAGCCTTTTCAGCATCTCTGCTTGTTTAGGGAGGGGCATATTTAACCCTTCACAGCTTAGTTCCGGCGGGGCTGAGAAAGGGCGCTCTTTGCCCCTAGGTATTTCGTAGGATCAGGGGATTGCAAAATCTCCTTCTGCTTTCCCAGAGGGAGGAAACTGAGAATGTTTTGGTTCATCGAAAGCGATTTGCCCTTCAGCTTTGCTGTGAAGGTGAGAGAAACCTTTTCTCCTCCAGCACCGTGATTGCTGGCTGACAGCCCAAGGCGCAGAGGCAGAGCCAGCGCTGTCCCCTCTGCGTGCGTGTGTGTGCAAACCTGTGTGTGCCTGTGTGCGGTGAGCAGGGACAGGTCCTCCCACTTGGACCATGTTGGGGTACACAGGTCACATCCCCCTGTGCTCTGGCAGGCACCTCCACGTGCCCTGTGGATGTGGCTGTGCCTGGAGAGCCGTGTGGCTGCCTCTGGCTGCTGGTATCTTTGGAGGGGGATGTCCTTTCCCTGCTTTGCATGCCCTCCTACATCTGTGAGCCCTGGCCCCGACAGGCACTGTGTCCCTGTCATGCTGTGCTGGGGCACCGATATCTGGGAATGCTGTGACCCTCCAGTCAGTGGGATGACAGGAGCACCCCGTGTTCCTCCACCACAAGACAACCCCCCTGGGTGGGGGCCAGGCTGTGGGATGCCTGGCTGACTTGGCAAGGGTTTGCGGTTCCTCTTTTTGCAGTGCTCTGGGACAAAAAGAAAACTGCACCCACTTCAGGTTTTGGGAACATTTAGAATTGCCAGCAGTTACCCCGGGCTAGGCTGAGCAATGGACAGACTGGCTTCGGACAGACAGGCATTCCAGCACCCAGAAAATATCCTGACACGGCGACCACAGTTGCCCATCTCCCTGCTGAGTGCCAGGCTCACAAGCACACGGGCTGTCCCCGCACCAGCTGCTGCCCACCCCTGATTCCTGCGTGGGTCAAGAGGAAATCACTCCAAGGGGAGGAAGCCCCCGTCCTCCCTCTCATCACCCTACCTCTCCTGAAGGGTCCTGCCCCATGCTGGGCTCATGTCACCGCCAAGGGACCCCTTGGTGCCTCCCTCCCTCCCTCTGCCCTTCAGCAGAGACCCACCGGAGCGTGGTGGGGCGTAGGACAGCCCCATCTTCGCCACCGGGGTGGCCTCGGTCCCGTCAGAGCTGCAGTGTCGCTGGGGCCCCTCGGTCGCCACGGGCCGGGGCCGCGGGGGGATCGGGGTGACCGGGGCCGGGCCCCGCAGTCGCTCCCAGGGCAGCCCCCCGGGCCCGGCCGCCCGGCGCAGCGTGACCGAGAGGCAGCTCCGCTTCGTGGGGGCAGCCACGGCCAGGGGCCCGTCCCGCCGCCGTGAGGGGCCCGGGATGCGGCTGGGGCCGCTGGGGCTGCCGGGGGCGGATAGGCAGCTGCGAGGGAGGGCGATCTCCTCCTCCATGGTCGCCTGCGGGCTGGAAGCGGAGATGCGAGGGCTGGGCCCCGGCCGTCCCTGCTGTCAGGGCTGTGGTGTCTCGGGGTGCAGAGCTCCCTGGGGCTGCTGTCACCCACATGCTTGAGCCCCCACCTCCAGCCCTGTCCGGCCAGCCCGCCTCCAGCGGGACAATGGGGCTCTTGTGGCCGGCATGGCTCGCTCCCACGCTGGGCGCCATGGCCACTCCTGCGAATGACCAGCACCTTCCTGACCTCCGCCACCAGCAGCCCCATAGCACGGGCAGCTCCACAACACGGGCAGCTCCTTGCTCCCGTGGCAGGAGGTGCAGGAGTGATGCAGAGGTCAGGTCAGGCCTGTGCTGCCTGCTTCCAAGGACACTGGGTGTGATTAAAAAAAAAAAATTAAAAATATTTGAATTTTTTAAATGTTTTCCCTTCTTGTCTTAGTTTTCCCCCCTCAAATGGCATATTCCAGTGCAACAATTTATATCCCACTGCACAAGTTCAGTGGTCACTTTTTGGATGTTTGTCCAAGAGGGATTCAGCTTGCTACTTTACACCTTCCTCACTGTAAGAGGCTTTGAAGGGCAACACAACAAACAAGGGGAAAGAAGAAAGGTGTTTTGGTGGAATGGGATGAGAATATGAATGGTTTGGTGGGCAAGTGGGAGCAAAAAAAAGGAGAGACAGGCACCCACAGTACCTACAGTGTGGCAGGGACAATGATTGCATGATCTCAGGTGACCAAGGCTGTGGAAGTAGAAGAGGAATCACCATCCAATGACCCACATCAAGTAATTGGGAATGCTGGTGGAAGGCAGAGCTCAGGACAGTGTGAGTTCTTTGCCACTTTAAGGGCAAAGAGACAGAAAACATGAAAAAAACTAACCTGATACTGTGTAGTATTTCCAGCAATAAGTATCTTCTCTGATTCTTTATGCAGTTTAATTCAGTATCTGTGACTATTTCCTTCTCCCTGAGGTCTTTCTGGCTGCACAGATCCACAGAGGAGAAACAATCTCAGTTTTCAGGCAGCATTTGCTTTTAATTATTCCAGGATAGCCCGGCAGTGTAGCTGGCACAGGAGCCAGGTGGATGGAGACCTACCCTGTTGTAAAGGAAACCTCACTGCAGACTGCTCCTTGCTGCCTGCCCAGAGCTGGAGGGAGGCAGCTCCCAGGGGGAACAACAGGAAAACAAAGCATCAACCAAGCAGTTTGTCACACACTTCCACTGCGGAAGCCTTTGACACTGCTGACAAAATAGTCCTTCATAGCCATGGAAAATACCTGGCTTAATGCTGATTGTGTCAGGGCTAAACAGCACAAAAAGTAAGCCAGAGGAGATGAACAATTAGTTTTTCTCTAATCCAGCCCTCACCCAGTTGCTGTCTTCTTTTGCTCAGTTTCTGCATTGAGTCATGGGCAGTGGAGCTCAACACAATTACAGCAGCATGCAGAGGAGAACACAGAGCAGGGGAGAGCTCTGGGACCCCTGTGAGTGCAGGCTCCCCTTCCTCCAGTTTGACTTCTTCCTGACTGCTCCAAGCCCCTCAGCTCCAGTGGAGAGGTTTTTATGCTACCCCACAGCTCAGTTGTGTTTGTTTACTGAGCAATCCCACCCACCAGGGAGTTGAGGAGAGGAAGCAGGTTTCCAAGCTGGTGTTTGGAGATATGGCTGTGATGTGCCAGAGGGCAGGGAATGTGAGCCATGCAGCTGAGGGTGGCACATCATGCCATGCAACCCAGCCCCTTGTCATTTCCATTTACAGTCCCAAGTCATGAAAATGTATCTGTTTCAGACTACACCGGCTCTTTTGAGTCTTTGCTTGCCAGGGCAAGTATAACTTTGGGCACAGCAGTAATCCTATTCACTGCATTTCCCTGCTGAGTGAGGCTCCCCAGTTAGGGTACTTGCATCACAGTCTCTGTCACTTGGCTGAACGAAAGGACCCTTGACTTGTCCTCTGTCCAAAACAGAGCCAGAAAGCTCCTGCCAGTGTGCCTAGTTTTGGTGTGGAAAAGAATGGTAATGCAATTGCAGTCTGGCAGATGAAATGTCCCAGGAATACCCAGGACATTTGCAGGATGTCCTGATCCATTCCTTAGAGCTAAAAATTAACTTGGATCCCCAGAGAATTACCAACTTTCAGGCTGCATCTGTGCTTTGAGCCTTTCTTTGCCAGGGCAAGCTAAACTTTGGGCACAGGTATAATCCCACTCACTGCATTTCCCTGCATAAACCACTCACAGCAGCCCAGTGAACTCTCCTTCTTTCTTTGGGAATGGAGGAGCAAACTTCCTGCTCCCAGGTTCACAGGTGGGGCTGAGTGACACAAGCCAGGAGCTGTGGCAGATTTTCACAGCTGTCCTGAGGAGCCCTGCTGCTGAAAGGAGCCATTGGGAACTGGAGCACAGAGTCATAACAATGGAAGGACGCTGGAGATGTGGTTGCCAATATCCTGGCTGGCCCAGGTGATGGCACAGGATGCACAGACATGTGCACACAGGATGGTGGCACCAGCTAACATACCTGGGAAATGCAGGAGAGGGGCACACAGGATCCCTCTGTGTCCAGAGCATTCACAGGTAGCACCATTGCACCTACATGCATGCAAAGGGTGGATGTTGGGGTGGGAGGAGAGGAGACACAACCTCCTGCCACAGGCTCCTTACTCTCTCAGGCCTTCCTGTACACACTGGGCATTGCACTGGGCTGTCAGGGAGAGAGAGGATGGGGATATCCCTCTCAGCCCCAGTGTCACAGCTTCATACAACACTTTGGTGGCTGGTCATCCCCATGACAGTGCAGGATGCCTATAAACATGGGACTTTGTGCCAGACCCACATTATACGGCTTGGGTTCAGGAAGCAAAGGTGGTGCAATGGGCCCATTTATCTGGCAGGCTCAATGTTCCTTCTCAGAGACATGCAGGGTGGAAAAGGGCTGAAGGATGCTTCACGGCTCTCATTGGGAAACAGTTGAGAAAGAGAGTCTGTCTAAGGGCTCTGCAGTGCAGTGAACAAGTGCAAGTAGCTTCACAGACTATCCCATCTTCCTCCATGACAGAGGAGCAGGAGGTCAGGCAGATCAGGAGTGGCTGATGTGGTAAGTCTGGCAGCACCCCTTTATGCAGAGGTGCAGAATGTTCTAACTTGACACAGGACTTGAACCAACCTCTTTAATAAAGACCTTTCATTTCAGTGTGGTGCATCTGGAATGGATGTAGGGATGGATGTTCTCCATCTCCCAAACAGACACAGAAGGGGTGTGCATTTAGCAAGGATAAAGACGTTCAGTCTCTGAGGCTCACTGAGCCCTTGGTCCCTCTGCACAGGGCTTCAGCAAGCTCACCTCTTAGCATCAAGAGTGGGTGCTGGGAAGAGCTCAGCTGAAGCAACAATTTGTATTGAAACCCCATTTATTTTCCCCAAAATACCCCTTGGACTTTGACAGACTGTGTTAGATTTAACTTAGGGAGTAGGAGTACAAGGTTCTGTATCCCTTTGCAAAACCTGGTACCTTTCCTACGGAAGATCCTGTCAAGGTGCCAGGCAGCTCAAACTCAAGTGATTAACAAGGGATATTTCATTTGAGTGGTTAGTCAGTCTTGGCCACAGGAAGGAGCAAAGTCCTTGGCTGGCTGAAGAGCTGTGAGCACATGGTGAGTGATGAGGACGAGACCCAGATCAGCAGACAGCAAAGTGAAGACCAGCCCCACTTTTACCAGGGCAGGACTGCCATCCCTAGTGAGGCTTGTGGTCTGCTGCCCACCCAGGAGAGATTCCTCTGGCTGCAATGGGCAGCTTGTCAGACCTCAGGCACCCCAAAGGCCAGGTTGTCCCGAATCATCAGCGTCTTCCGAAGGTCTCGCTCCATGATTGGCCTCTGTGTTCGCCACTTATGGGCTTCCTGGAGTCCTGGTTCGAAGTAGTAAATGCAAGCTCCAAAGCCCACCAGGATGAGAATGGAGATCATCAGATACACGGGCACAAACCAATCCAAGAAGTGGGGCATGGCTGCCAGAGAAAAGGAGAGAAAGCTCATGCAGTGGGAGCACCCAAAACACACCTTCACCACCAAAAACCACCTCCTCCACCAACACTGATCATAAGACATCTGCCTCATCAGCAGTGGCCAGTTCCTCCTCACAGCCCTGCTGCACCTGGCTTATGCTTGGTTGCACATGAAAACACCTCATCCACTGGGAGAGGTCAATGCTTTTGGGGTCATTGCTGGGCGCCCTCCACAGAGTATCAATCCTACTCCCTCCCCACAGAGAGGGTTGAGCTTGCTTGCCCCCAGCCCTGCTGCCAGTGATTAAAGGTAGGCAGTGGGTAAATACAGCTGCTTCTCACCTCCTGCTTGAGGGAAAATCTGCTTCCCCTGACACCCCATCACCCTTTTGAATTCCCAGTCTGAGCTGGTCTGGCTCAGGATTGAGCCCTCCCTTACTGCACCTCTATTTCAGGTCCTGCTTTGCCAGGGCTCAGGGTCCTTGGTTCAGCACCAGTCTGTGAGCAGGCCTGAGATCCCTCCACCACATCAGCCACTGTGCAGTGGGGGCACTCACCGGGAGCAGCTGATCTGCCTCGCCAAGAGCCCCTGGCCAGCCGGGTGCGAGGTGAGTCCGGAGCAGCGTTGCCCTGGGGAGCACAAAACAACACCACACTGTGTGATTGCTGCTGGGCCAGCGCTAAACATGGGAGAGCAGGAAGGAGCAAACATCTCCTTGTCCAGAGGTCAGGGCTGAATATTTCTGGAGGGATGAACAAATGGGGTCTCAGCCCCACGACTTGCTGGTGCCCTGGCACATTCTCTGCCCACCATTACAGCCCTGCTGATGCCATGCTTAGGGCATGCACCCTAACTTAGGGCCATTTAAATCTGTAATGGCATCACATTTGATCCCATCCCTTATCCCCATCCTTTGGGAGGGAGACAGCAACCCACATTGCAACCAGCAAAGGTACTCAGCTTGTTCAGCTCTGCTGCTTGCTCTGCACCAAAATGACAGGCAAGGTGTGGATCATGCAGGGGCAGAAAAGGGGATCAAAAAGCATCCCACACAAAAAGCACAGCTACAACTTCACCAGGCACCAGATCTTCTGGGTTTTCACTGCGAATGTGCTGCTTGTTAAAGGCTTTGGTGGATTAAACCTGGCACCCTCACTCTTGGGAGAGCACAGTGGTGCCAGACTCAGGCACAAAAATGCAGTCCTGAAAGAGGGCGTTCTGTAACCCTCACCCCTTGGTGGGAATGATGAAATGCCCCTTGACTTCTGTGGGGACACACTGAAGTGCACCCACATCAAACTCCTGCTTTTCCAGACAGATGAAAGCTGTCATGTCTGACCATGGCCCAAGTCATCCCTCTGCAATAACAAACTATCCCCAAATTCCTTGCACAGGGCAGGTTAAAAGGAGGCTGGGGAGAACTCTGAGCAGTTCCATCCTCTTCCCTGCTCCTGGCCCATAAGGTTGGTGCGTTTTTCACACCAGGGGCTGGGCTTTTTCCTTTTTTTTTTTTTTTTTTAATACCACAGCCATCAGTTGTTTCCAATGTGCCCAGCAGCATTTATCTTCTGGACACCTTTTGTCCCAGGAGGGCCTGTAACAGTAACTTTTTTGTCAAAGGGTAAGATCTGAAACAAGCTGCAGTTCTTATTACCATAAGAAGAAACTGCAGAAAATGCCTGATTTCTTCCCACTTATTGGCATGGATCTGATCTGGGCACTACTGCTGCCCCTTCATGGCTGCCTGTGCCTTCCTCAGGTGAAAAACTGCTGAGGAAAGCTCTCACCATAACTTCCAACAACATCACAGAGTTGTTATGAGGAGCTGTGGGGCTTCCCTTAACGTACCTTAGGGGACCATGTAAGGAATTAGGCACAAACTCCTTCCACAAACCCCTCCCCTCAGCAGCTGGGACTGAACTCTGGGCCAGAAACCCCACAGCACAGCTTTCTTACACGCTCTGCAAAAGTAGCTCCTTTGCACCCCCTGCACCCCCCAGTTGCATCTGCAGACATCTTGGGGATCTCAGGCTGCTGCTGCACCCCCTTTTTTCAGGTGTCTCAGCAGCTGCTATCTGTCCCTGGCTGGCAACAGCAATGGGCAGGATTAGAGACACTGTGAAGGTGAGTTCAGCCTGGATCTCCTGGGCTGATGGGAGGAAAGCCAATAACCTCATTCGCTTCCCGATCATCCACTTTCCAAATGTGTGAGTGAAGCTGCCGTCCAAAAATGCACTGCAATAAAAAGCAGCCCTGCACACTTCCCAATTCATCCTTCCTCCATCACTAGCAGAGCCAGCATTTCCTAGCTCCTCGCCAGCAACCTATTCTTCATTCTACTTGCTATGCAGCCCTGTCCTGCTGCGTCCTCACGCTGCTCACCATCCCCACTCCCTCAATGAAGGGTCCTCATCATGGCCACGCCGAGTGCTGGATGAGGTGTCAGAGACGGCTTTTGTCAGGCAGGTGAGCAGATTTTGGCTGCAAATACTGAAAAGAGGGAGTTTCATTTAAAGACATCAGCTTTCTGGAGCAGTTCTGCAGATATTAAATGTGCCTTAACCTTGCCAGACCAGTTGATCTTCAGCACCTCATTTTGCAGTGGGACATCCATGTCCCTCCAAAGACACAAAAGAGTCCTTAGTCCTCCATCCAAAACCATGTCTTATATAGATAAGCTGTCTGACCCCTTTTAAACCTGTGCTACACCTCACTCCTGCTTTTTGCCTTCAATGTCACCCGTGGATCCCCTATGCCGCCTCCCACCGCCCCCGAGGTGTTGTGGGCACACTGTGGCAGGAGCCCCAGGGGCCACGTTGTTAGTGGCAGGGCACAAACTGCCTGGGGGAGGCTGGGAGCAGCCCACAGGAGAATTTGGGCGCAGAACCCTCCCGTGCGCATGGCTGGGAGCGCAACTCATTTTGCAGCATTACAAGCCGTGGGCTCACCTCGACCGCAGGAGATTCCCCCAGACCTGGCAGGCCGGGGCACAGCTGCCGATGGCTGGGACCCAGACATGACCTCGCTGCCACGCACCGCATCCCCAGCACTCACCGCTCCGTGCCCTGACACCTGTCACCTACCTTCCTCCACGGGTGCAGGGCGGCGGGACGGGACTGCTCCCTCCGGCATCTGCCGGGTGCCAGCCGGGATGAGTCAGGCTCCTTTCCCGGCCAGGCAGTGCCAGGGAAAAGGCACCCCGCGCCGGGAGAGCTGGGCGACAGCGGGAGGCGACAGGCGCGGCTGGGCGGGAGGCAGGCAGGGAGGGAGGGATGGCGGGAGCAGCCGCGGCGGGCGGGGGAAGGACAGGCAGCCAGCAGCGTGGCCTCATTGCCCAGCAGGACTCCCGGGGGCTTCCCCCACCGCCTCCCCGGCGGTGTCGGCCCCGCTCCAGCCTCCCCGGGGCACCCCCCCGCCGGCCTTCCCCCACGCACGCAAGAACGGCTGCAGCGGGCTGCATCCCGGCGCGGGGAGCGGGGAGCGTTTTAGCAGAGGTCGCTATGGCAACGAGCATCCCCAGCTCCCCCGCACATGGTACCCGGGTCAGAGCCACGAGGGAGCTGCCCGCGGGATGCTCTCCCTCCTCCCGCATCATCCGCAGCCCGGCTGCAGCCCCGGAGGAGGAGGAACGCTGGGGCACACGTGTGTGAGCTCGAGCTGATGGAGATGGACAGAGTGCTCAGGCTCCGCAGATTTACCAGCGTGTGCAGCCCAACGACTGGGGGCTGGTGGTTTTTCATCAGTGGATGGGAGGCAGAGAGAGAGGGGGAGATTAGAGGCAAAGGGGGGGTTAGTACTCCCTTCAGGGCTTTTATGTAAAATTAAACCAATCAACACTTTGACCAAAAGAATCTTACATCAGGAAACAGAAAAACAATGCTGTCTGAAGTACTGTTCTTGCTTTCAGTGAAATACCATTTTCCTGAATCCATACCTAGTTCTGTCATTGCTGCTGCTGACAAGGGATGTTAAAACATTTTCTGCTTTTCAGCAGCACAAAAATAGGAACATGCAAATGGGTTTGCTTTTTTCATATTGAGGTAATTCTGTTGTTTGGTTTGTTTTTTGTTGTTTTTTTACAAAGAGAATTTTTCACCATGACCCAGAAATTGTTTAACACAAAAGAGTTTTAGCAAAATCAATCAAACAACTGGCTGCAGCCCGAAGAACTGCCTGCTCTCCTGCCTGTGCTGTCCAGCTCCACCCACTTAGTTTTTGACACTTACAGCCCTGCAGATGCGCCACAGTGGGTTATTGTAAAGGTTTTCAGGATTAATAGTATCCACTGAAATGTATGAGGCCCGAATTTGTGTCTGCTACACTCGAGGAGCTGTGAGATTTGAGGTCTCAATTCCCAGTAGGTTGTGTTTTAGGCACAAAGGAGTTCATCCTCTCTCCAAGCCAAGCTGTGGATGGTGACAGAGCTCATGCACACCTGCCAGCTCCAAGGGTAATGCATGACGAGGTTCTGTCACCTGGTCTGTGCCAGGGTTTCATCCACCAGTGCCAGAGACAAGGCTGTGATGGAGCTGTGGGAGCTGATTAGTATGCTCTGTGATTTCCTCTTCGTCCTCTTTAGGTCCTCCTGAGCCTCACTTCTTGATGTAACTTCATAACAGCTTAGAAGCATTGAGTATAGGCCTTGCAAGCCCTCTGTACCTAGCAGGATATCTGCGTGGAGGATCAGATCCATTAGGTTTAGCTAACTGCTTCTTGGTTTGCCCCAGTAAAGTGGGCACTCCAGGTGATTGCCAGAGTGGAGCCTGAAATTTTGTCTGAATTTTAACCTCAGTGAAGTTGGGACATGACACCTTGACCATCAGCACAGTTATTGCTTCACTAATCCCACTGCAGGGGGTTGAAAACACAAGCCCCACAGCTTTGACCATAGCCTGTGGTTTGGATAAAAAGATTTTTAAAAATAACTTTGGAAGGATATTGTTTATTGCATTCCTCAGAGCAAACCTTTAGGGTAGGCAAAAACAGTCCATTTGAGAGGGCAAAAGGAAAACTGCTTTCCAGGTGTGCAAAGAAAATGAGAGGGAGATCAGTGGTTGCTGGCACAAGGTAGGAGACTATTCATTTATCCAGGTGACTGGTCAGTGGTGAAGCTGCAGGCACTAAGCAGAGCCTGCCAGGCCAGGTATATTCATGCCACAACGTGTGAGGTCCTCCCATTGTCCCTGGCCAACTGTCCCGAGTCTCTGCTCTAGGTCACCTCAGGGGCACATCAGAGCCAGTGTGTATCTGCCAGTCTTCAACTCCCCAGATTTAAGCTCAGGCCTGATGCCAGCATGCTGCTCATGCAGCCAAAACCCCAGGACAGCAATAGTTTTGACTCACGAGGTCATTTTTTCCTCTGGCCCACTTCCCTGCCACGCAAACACTGGGAGGATGTGACAAGGAATGGTGATCACGTCATTCTGCAGCCACCACCACAGCAGTGGGCAAGGTAACAATGTGGCAGCCTCTCTTGCTTCAAGCAGGAATCCCCCCAGATGAGTCTGAAGCACCCTTGGACACAGCAAGAAAAAAACCACGGGGCTTTGTGCTGCTGGAGCTGGGACACGCTTGAAGACCCTGTGCCTCTGATGCAGCTGCTTGCTGCCCGTGACTGGGCTCTCAGGTGCTGTCACAGCCTTTGGTTTCCAACAAGAGCTAAAGCTGCAAGACAGCTCCAGGCATTGATGTGCCAGTGCAGCTCAATCTGCATGGAAACACTTCAGCTGCAGTTCAGCTTCCACCTCAGAGGAGGCTGCTCTGTGCCACTCAGGTCTTCCAGGCATAAGCTTGTGCATATCATTCTGCCTGCTGCCCTGGGGCCTTCCAGCCCCCTTCACCTGGCTAGCAGGAAGCCTCTGAGTGTCTGTGCACACACTGACCCCTCAAAGCCATTTGTCCCAGGACACCTGCCTATCACCAAGCCTCTGACTCCCTCCATGTCTCTGGGCAACCACAAATTCACCTGCGTGATAAAGGTAACATGGGGTCAGGTTTGATGTGAGAGGGCCACCCAGCCAGAGCAGAAATCATGAAACCCTTCTCAAAACCACAGACAAAAACCTTGGCTGGAAAAAAAGGAGATGGTCAGGCAACCTCAGGCACATGCTTCCTGCTTGTAGCACATCCATAAATCACAGCACAAACAATGTACTGAGCTCAACTTAATCCCAGTCCGGGTTAAGTGTTATTGCAGTCTTTCTTAACAAGTTTTTCCACTGTTCTTTAGTGTCTTTTAGCCCTTTATCAGCATCTTCTGAGATGACCAGACCCAGGTCGATGCCAGTCTTTAAAGCAACACCCAACTCCCAATATTGCTCTCCCAATGTAGGCAGAAGCATGGGAGAAGATTGAGTTTATCAAACTTGCCTTTCCCAAGGTCTGCAGTAGAGGACAAAACTTCAGCAAGGGTCACAGAAACGCTTCCCTGCTCAGCTGCAGGAGGTGAGGGAGCTGCTGCAGGATGCAGAAGGCACACAGGATGCATGGCAGGGCATCAGTTGGGGATACTCTGGTGGGAAAGCAGACTAACCCAACTTATGGGTGCTCCTGCAACTTCAAAAAAAACCCCAACCCATTAGAGAAGCTTTGCTGAGCTGATCAAAAATGAAGGAAATGTGTATAGTGAGTTAAATTAAAGAGCAGAACGAAAAAAGCTGACTTACTTTGGGTCTAAATTTAGCTGTGAAGAGCCTTTGCCAAAGGAAGCAGAAGTTGCCAGCAACATATGTGAAAATGTCATTAATTTCTCTAATAATCTGCACTTGCTGCAAATGATATAATTTTTGTCTATTAGTGAGAGAACAAGTGCAATCAAATACACACGAGCTCTATTTTGCAGACTTCCCAGGAGGGACAGTGAGAAGTCAGCCTGGAGCCAGTAATGCATGAGAGGGTGACATCTCATGGAGCTCCTCCTGAATGGGCTGTCAGGAGCTGGGAGCTGTCACTGAGACAGCTGGGACCATGCTGGGGTCAGTGCTCCTCTCTAGACCGTCTCCAAAGCCCGTCTCCTTTGCTCCTCTGGCTGCTCAGAGAGAGCCAAGGGAGAAATCAGAGAGAAAATATCTCAAGATGCAGCCACTGCATGAATCATACAGCAAATTGGCCATGGATGTGTGAGGACGAGGTGTGCTTTTTAACATTTTTTGTACTGGCTGGTGCAGTCCTGCTGCAGGAGCAGCTGCCCCCTTCCAAGGGAGCACTCATGATGGCCAGGCCAACTCTTGCTGATGTCAATTGTGTTTTTTGGGCAGCGTCAGAACATCTTCATGTTGACTGCAATACATTTCTACCCATTTGTGGAATGGTTTGTTCTACCAGAGCAATGTACAATGGCCCACTGAGTAAAATCAGGAGCTCTCTCCTTCCATATCATGCCCTGCTCTTGTCCCTTCTGCTTACACTCTGGGCCAGTGTACCGACACCCATCTGTGCTCTCCTGCACCACTCAAAAGCAAAGATCAAGTCACTACTCCCACTTTGCAACTGGAAATGGGGCAGCAAGAGGTGAAACAACCTGACATAATTACTCAGGAACATGCAAAATACATCCTGGTTTCTAACACCAACCACATCTCATCCCTCTCCCCTCTTCTCCTTGCCAACTTACAGATCTAGGCAAGAGATGCAGGCACAGTGCCTGACCAGTCTCCACTTCCTTACAATGTCCTCTACCACGAAAAATAATTTTCTAACTGTGGGTGAGTGGTAGCTTATCTGGATCTGCTGAATATCAACAGACACCAGCATGGTGAGAAGACGGAATCCTGCAGCAGCAGGGCACAGCAAACATGTCCCTGACCAGACCCTAAAGCCACCCAGGTCCTTCAGTGGGGCCAGAGAATAGGTAACGGGGCAGAAAGACAACAAACGCCTTTGAGGTGGGTGCCCGAGCTTTTACTATATTTCCACACCTTCAGCAGCCCAAAAGGAACATTGTTCTATTTGCTCCCTACATCCCCCCAGCCTGGGAGCTGGCTCTTGCTATTTATTTCATCAGCTTGTCTCCCATCTTTAGGACACGTCTGCCCTGAATTCATCCTCCCTTCCCCCCACTAAACTCAAAAACAGCCAGAAATATCTTGTAATCTCTTCTGCTTCACCTGTAATTTGTCTCATGCTGGCGATGAGGGAAACCGTCTGCCTTTGTCAAGATCAAAAACGCCACAGTGGCCATGTGATGTCAGCTTTCTTTAACCCTGTCTCGCTCCCCTTTGCCTCCCCTCTCCAGACTGTTGCAGAGTGGCAGATGTGTTTTCATTCTCCTGCAGGCTTTTTTCTCCCCTGGCACATCTCCTGCCTTTTGGAGGTATCCTGGTTGAAAGGGCAGGGAGAGCCAGCACCAGCAGGCAGCAGAATGGGTTCGGGACACCCTTCCACACCAAGGTGGAGCCAAACCCAGGGCTGAGGCAAAGATCAGGAGATGCAGCAAGGTGGACCACAGGCCACTGAGGTACACTAGACTCTGAGGTTCTGCATAACCGCATGTCATCCTTCTGCTTTGACCTCAGAATGAGAAAAACTGAGTCTATCTCTGTTACTGCAGTGCTTCTGCCCAGCCCCCTTCCTGCCTGTACCACAGACAGGGGAGCACTGGGCTGGGGAGAGGCTGACCAGACTGGGGGCTGAGGGGGAAGGCACCCAGGAAGGGGCAGGATGGAGGTCAAGCCTGCTGGAGCTGCTGCAAAACCTCACACAGAATAAATCAGTGTGCAAAGCCAGTTGCTACTGCCACACAGTGTTAGGGAAATTCCTTTCCCTAGCTATGTTATCAAGCAGTCTTTATGGTATGGAAGTGTAATAACTATGTTAACATTTTTCCCTACCTCCCTGTTAACTTTTCACCTGCTACTGGTGAGGCCACAGCTCAAATCCTGTGTTCAGTTTTGGGACTCTCACTACAAGAAAGACATTGGGGTGCTGGAGCATGTCCAGAGAAGGGCAGAGAAGGAGCTGATGAAGTGTCCAGAGCAGAAGTGTTATGGGGAGCAGCTGAGGGAGCTGGAGTTGTTCAGCCTGGAGGAAATGAGGCTCAGGGGAAGCCTTATTGCCCTCTACAGCTCCCTGAAGGGAGGCTGTAGCCAGGTGGGGGTTGGTCTCTCTTCCCAGGTAACAAGCAGTAGGATAAGTTGCTCCAGGGGTGGTTTCCACTGGATTTTAGGAAACATTACTGCACTGTTGGTGGTCAGGAAGTGGAACAAGATGCCCAAGTGTGTGTTGAAGTTACCATCCCTGAAGTGTTTGAAAAGCTGTGGCAGGTGGGGACATGGCTGTTTTGAACATGACAGGGTTGGGTTAATGGTTGGACTTGATGATCTTAGAAGTCTTTTCAATCTAACGATTCTATGATTCCATATATTAGTTCACATTATAAATTGCAATGTAAGGAGGCGGTGGAATTTTACGGAAACCTTTGCTTTTTTTTTTTTTTGTCTTTTTTCAGTCTTGAGTAAACAAAGGGGCAACAGCTCATGGCAAGGGCCAGGGAGCAGCACAGCCCTGGAAATAAGGGCTCTGCTTCTCAGAAGCTAAAGGCTGTTCATGATCCCCCTGCACCGCCAAGGCAAGGCCAGTGTCCTCCCCTCAGCATCCCTCCAGTACTGCCTGTGGGTGCCTCAGGCCCAGCTGATCCCTGGGATATCTGGATGCCACAGGAGCAGTGCTGCTTCGCAGGATTTTGTGGTGGCCTGTCAGACCTTGTGGTGCTCAGAGGGGCCCCAGGCTGTACCTGTGCATCACTGCAGTCCACAACCACCTCGTGAGGGAAAGTGCATGGGCAGGCGCTGGGCTGTCTGGCAACCAATGCAAAGACCCAGGACAATGGCCTGAAGCAGTGTCAGGGGAGATTTAGGTTGGATATTAGAAAGTTTCTTCACCCCGACGGTGGTCGTCCACAGCAACAGGCTCCCAGGGAAGTGGTCACAGCATCCAGTCTGACAGCGTTCAAGAAGCGTTCGGACGACTCTGTCAGGCACATGCTGTGACCGCTGGGGCTCCTGGGGCCCGTGGTGTGACCCCTGTGCAGGGCCAGGGGCTGGACGCGACGGTCCCCGCGTGTCCCTCCCGAGCCGGACCAGCCCGTGAGGCGATCGCCGCCAGCCCCGCAGCGCCCCCTGCCGCCCGCCGGGAACCGCGCCCGCCCCGCCCCGCCTCGCAGGCCCCGCCCCGCCCCGCAGGCCCGGCCGCTCACGTCGGCGCAAGGCGGAGCGCGAACGCCGCCGTTTGAATTCCGGCGGGCGCGCAGGAGGCGCCGTCTCCCGCGAGGATGGCGGTGCTGCGGCCCTTCGACAAACTCCCGCAGCTCAACTCCGGCGTCCTCCTGGTAGGTCCGGCGGTGGCCCCGCCGTCCCTTGTCCTTCCCTTTTCCCGGCGCGGCCCCGCTGTGGGCCCGCCCGCTCCGTGCCCCCGCTGTGTCGGGCCCGGCCCGGCCCCGCGCGGGGTTTGGCGGTCCGGGGCCGGTGTGCAGTGTGCTCTCGCTGTGCCCGCAGCTCGTGGGCTCGGACGAGGCGCTGCAGCGGCAGCTGGCGGAGGCGATCCTGGAGGAGAAGAAGGACTTCAACATCAGCATGTGAGTGCTGGCGAGCGGGACGCGCCGCCTGCGGCCCCGGGCCCGTACGGGAGCCGTTGTCACCTGGTCCAAGAGGCGCAAACCAGCGGCTGTGACGCGAATTCACGGAAAGCTTCCGCTTCAGATTCCCGATGCGCCGAAATTGGTTAAAAGCGCGGGTTCCGTCCCCGTGGCAGGAGTCGGAGCTGTAGAGCACACGGTTCAGAGAGCGACTTCGCTCTTGCGAACGCTAGAGAGCACCAGTGCCCAGATGTGAGCGCGTCTGCGGCGGGCAAACCCCTCTGTCCTCAGGGCAGGCACTTTGGGCATGCTTGGGAACGGAAAGAGGGACGGGGGGAAGCATTTCCCACGTTCATGTTCACAGTGCACATACCCTTGCCTTTTGCATGTTGCACAAATATTTAAATATTTCATTACTAAATTGGAAAGGTGTGAGAGCAACACTTTTTTTTTCCCCGCCTGAGAGACAGAAATTAAACTTCCTGGGACAAAATGGGACAGGTACAATGCTGGCAAGTAATTGCAGGAGAGCAAGTGTTTCTGAAAGATGTCCATTGCTTTGGATGCTCTTTGTAGCTGTTTTCTGGTTTGTATGCACACATGTGCGTTTCCTCCTCAAGCTATTAAGATGCACTTGAAATTTCAGCTTTAGCCGCATGACATGTCCTGTCTTAAAAGCTTGATTAACTAACTTTTTACAATAAAATGTCCTTGACAGCTCTTTTACCAAGACCAAATGAGTTTAGTCAGCTCTTCAGAAGGTGTTTGTGTTATTTCTCTGCTGTAATCCATGGCTATGCAATGGATAAAAGCAATCCAGGCTAATGTTCTGCTGGCTAATTAGAGTGACTGTAATGCTCTGATTGTGGCATCTTGGATCTCTGTGCTAACTAATAGTAAATGAATTACCCCATTTTCTTTGTGAAACCTGCAGCCTCTGCTGAGCTGTGGAGTGCCATAACTAGATGGCTGCTGGGTAACTGCCCAAAGGCACAGAATCGTGTGCTTGTGCTACAGAGCAAGGTACAGCCCTGTGTAAATATTGCTAGGAAAGCAAAGCCAGTAGGGTTCTTTCCCCCACTGAGTTGATTTGGGATTGTACACATTACAAACAAATACAGTATCTAATCTGACAGCTCTACCTGTCAGGTACAGCTGTTGGGTGAAGAGTTACAGGGCTTGGGTTCTTTGTGTCTCTTATTGCTGGGTGGGGGGGGAAAAGGCTTCTGCAGTGCATGTCTGGAGACTGCTGTCATCATCTAGTCATGTTGGTTTAAATATAACAGAATTCCAAACAATGCAGTGCTTTTTCTGGGTCACTTTTATCTTCTCCCCCAAGGAGATCTGATACTTTCATCGAAGAGTCTCCCTAAATTTCACCTTAAATTAATAAGCTGCTTTGTGTTTCAATTAATAAGCAGTGTGTCTTTCAAGCTCACTTTGCTCATCTCTTGTGTTAGTTTCAGAGTGTTTTTGTTAAATCATATCTCCCATAAATAGAAGACACAAAACATCTTTATTTGGAGACTAGCAAACAAACAATTACAAACTAGGTAGGATTAATAGAAAGGAATGTGTGCCATGGTCTGTGGCTGCTGGAGAAAACTGTTAAGTCCTTGAGACTGAATTGCTAGAAGTAATATTCCCAAAGAAGACCAAAATCAATGTTTCTCTGTTGGCTTCCAGAGAGGAAATGGGTTGTGAGAGTGGCTGAACTTATGGGATGTTTGTTTGCCCACTTTAAATGAAGGTGATCTTCCAAAAATGCAGTGCTGATAATGTTCTTCCCTGTGGAAGATCCAGTTATGTACTGCTGAAACATTTTTTGGTAGAGTTTTTGGTTGGTTGGTATGCTTGTTTGTTTTTTGTTGTTATTAGTTGTTTGTGGTTGTTTGGCTTTTTTAGTGGGCAGAGATGCAAAAATCCCCACCCTTGTTAGCTCTAATTAGAAGTTGTAGTACTGTGTAGAAGGATGCCTGAACTAACCTAGTAGTTTCTGACATAGCAAAAGGGTTAAAAGGGAGGGTAATGATATAATAGAAACTCTTTTTGAGTTATAACTTCATCTGTAAAGCTGCTCTAGTGACAAATTTGTGGTTTAAGGTTCTTCTGTACCTGGAAGCGTTGCCTCTCCTGTGTGAGCATATGAGCTGTATCTCTGGAATGTGACAGAAAAACACTGATGCATTTGAAACAACTGAAACCTGGCAGCAAACTATTCCAGTAAAGAATTGGGGTTTGCTTTGTTAGAAAGGATTCTTTGTAACAATTAAATGAAATGACTTGCCATAGAGATCTGCATGGAGAAAATGTTTCTGTGAGTCTTGTTATGCTCTAATAAGCGTCCCATTATAACCAGCCTTGTCTAGCAATTACCATTGTGCCTGTCAGCAACTGTGAGTGGGCCCAAGATATGAGAGTACCACTTAAACAATCACAGTGCCTCTTCAGTGCCCACGGATTCAGTAATTAGCAGGCTTCCTGGTAACTTGCTACAGGGTGAACTGCAGAGGTTGTGTGATTATGGGTGAGTGGGTACTGTCTTGCCAAGCTAGTTGGTTAAACTGGCAAATTTGTTATCTTGCAGTCACCTTGCTACATCCCTCCCCTTACCTTCAGAGAGGGATCATCTTCGACCCAGGATAGATCTGGTTGTGTTTATGATCGACATCAAGAGCAAGTACAGGTAAGAGAAGGGCAAAAAGATGAGAGGGGGGACTAATATTCTTTCTTGGTTTGATGGCTAAATCTGCATTTTTACTGTATTAGAGTTGCTGAATAGTGGGTTTCAAACCCAAGATTTGCTGTGGTGGAAGAACTCAGTAATGTATACAGTGGCTTTCTGGCCTCCAGCAGTGGATTAGGACTGAACTGCTCTGTCCAATAACATGCCTGTTGTGCACTAAGTTGCCATAGCAGAGAAGGCAGAATTTATTTCTGGATCTGGATGTGTGACAATACAAACTGAGCTTTGGAAAGATGCTGTCTGTAGAATTAGATGGAAGTGCTGGTGGTGCTGTGAAGTTCTATAACACGCAGAAGTCTGATGTGCACTGGGCAGTGCTGCCCAACAACCAGCAAGTGGCTGTGTCTGTGTCCTCAGTCCACTGACACTCCTGGCCAAGTGGGATCAGCACTATGGATATCTCTAGGCAAAAGAGAAAGGTCAGCAGGGATTGATCCCTTTTCTATCATCTTGTGCTCAACTTTGTAGAAATGATACTTGTTTCCCCAGGCCACAAGTAAAGACTTGCTAAGGCACAGAAGTCAGCATTTTATTGCTTACTTAACTTGTGACTGATGATCCTGGGCTCTCATTTACCAAAAATGACAGGCCCAGCTGCATACTTAGAGCACAGATGGTGCTGCAGAAATGTGTGGGCAAGCGCTTCCTGAAAGAGCCGAAGTGGTGCTGAAGTTTCATTGGATATTAATGAATTCAGATGCTTAGTGTCTGTAAATCATGGAGGACACTGTTCAAACTAACTCTAACTGTTGAGTCTTGAGTAGAAAGGATATGTTATGGGTTATTAAACAGCTGTGGGTATTACAGAGGTCTCTGATGTCATGCTTTTAGCATAAAGCAGAACTTTGCGAGCTCACAAATCAGCAGATGTTAACATCATTGTTTTTCTAATTGTGCTTCTGAAAATTATTCCTGTTATCCTTATGCTGCACTGATTTAACCTCCCTGTCCAACTGGATTGCCTGTACTTTTCTGACAGCTTGAAGAATGTTGAAACTTCCCTGGCTTATGTGGATGCCAGCTTCTTCCTGGGGAAAGTGTGCTTTCTTGTCACTGGGGGTACGTATGGCGCCTCTTCCTCCTCTTCAAGCAGCACAGCTCTGTTGGTTTTCTTAAAACGGGGCACTGACTTAACTTGAAACAAACTAAAGGAAACCAGTGGCTTTGTTGCAACTTTGTTTAAATTATTTGTGAGCTCCTCTGCCTTTTTTATTATTTTCCTAGGTACAACATGGTTCTCTCATGCTCACTTGCTCTCTCCTTTTTGTTTTTGTCAGTCAGATCTCTCTTCTCTGTTCCTAATCCCTGAATATGATTTGTGTTACTGGGGTTTTTTTTGTGTGTGTGTGTGGCACTCCAGAAGTCTGTTCTATCTGCTCTTGCAGATCTGTCTTAATGATAGTCCTAATGAGCAGCGAGAAGCATATGATACTGTGGTAATAAAGTGAATCTAAATGGATGAGCTACAAAACTATCAAGTATAGTCTCAATATAGTACCCCTGCTGTGTACTGAGGCCATGTTGTGCCTCTAATCTTTGTCTCCCAGTGCTTTCCTGTGCACCCTCCCTGCTTCAGCTCTGAGGAACTGGAGGGGCCAGACTGTACTGCTCAGTGTTGGAATATAGGTGCTGTGTCCCTGGAGTTTGGGGGTCAGGAGGCCTAATTCTGAAGTAGAGCAGTCTTAGCATTGTCTTGTGTTATGGTTCTCTTGATAAAGTGAATTCCTTGGAGACCAGACCACTCTGTGATGCCAAATGAGTCAGGAAGACTTTTTTGTGAGTGAGTGGAAGCTGATGGTGTGCTGATCCCTTATGCAGTGTTAATGTTACATGAAGAATGATGTGGTACTATTCCTGCTGTTAGTATTATGAAAGACTTCTGTGCTAATTCCATTTCAAATCTTGTACCATTCTGTTTGCACTGCTCACTCTTGCCTTACCTTCTATTATGCTCTCAAAATTAGCTCAATCCAATCCTCAGCTCTGGATTGTTCTCTGGATGTGGAATTTACGAAAACTTTTCTTTGCTGATTATGAGGCTTGTAATTGGGAAAATGTTTTTTTTAGTTGGCAGGGTGAATGCTTGCAGCATTGAGATGAATGCTGTCTGTAAATTAGGAGAAACCTACTGCAGCCCTGTGCTATTCTGTGAGCTGGAGGTAAGGTGCTTATTTGACATCTCAAGGGATTTCTGAATTCCACTGCTCTGTGATTGTTAGAAACTGGATTGTTAGAAACATTATATTAGCAATAAATACATGTAACAATAAATACGTGTGCTGCTGGCCTTCATAAGTGTCAGAGACCAGACTCTGTCTACAAGAACAGTAGAGGTACAGGAGTCTGGCTGTCCTTGAAATGAGTCTTCTAGTAATTTGGTCCTTCCTGTGCAACTTCAAAACTTCACAAAGCAAAGCATAAGCTAACAAAAACCATCTCTGATATGCAAAGCATTGGTACACTTGTTCCTTGCTGCATTATCTCTTCCTGGGAGCCCCTGAACTGTTATTTGCCAAGTGACCCCCTTGCCCATGTAATGTTTTGTGTCAGCCAAACTTTGTGGCTTCTCTGACGATTTTGCCATCTGATATCCAATTACCTGCATGGTCTAAAAAGCTGGAGGGAGAGTCTGGCATTCAGCAGCAGCACACTTCACTTTTCTGTGTACTTGTCCCTGCATGCTCACAGACAGTTTCCCTACCAGCAGGTAGAATCTGTGCCTTTGGCAAGCCCTTAAGCACTTCTACCTGGCAACATTGTACCTTCCTCTAACGTTAGGGAAGTAAATCGGCCTGTTTGGGGTTTTCTGCAGCTAGCCACTTGATGCCTGCTCTGGTTCTTTCTTTTGTCAAAGCTTACCGTTGCTTTTCTTCTTTTGTATTGATTAAATAATGTCTCCATTTTGTTTCCAGTTGGAAGGCGTTCGAGCTGCTACTGCTCAACGGCTTGTGCGGATATTAAAGATCTGTGCTGGTCTTGTACCGGGAGTTTCTGCCTTGTCCTTTGTCTCGCTGATGAGGAAGTCTGATGATGATTAGCTTCTCATTGTGATACTTCACACACATTCATCAGGTTTTTTTTCACGTCAGGCATTCAAGCTGCTGCAGTTGGAATCACATTGGGAAGCTTTTTTTGAGTGACTTGTCATGACCACTCATCCAGAACTGTTCCTAGTTGCTCACCTCTCAATAAAAGTTTGATTCCTATTCCATGGATAACAGATAGGGAGGACAGTTTGAATTGGGGATTCCGATCCATTATTACATCTGAATCCCATTTCATGATCAAGTTTGAGTTTTTTCCACTTGGCCAGTGGCCAGGAGCTACATGTTTTTCTGAGAGAATATTAGAAGAACAGGCTGCTGTCTCCAAAGTACCAGAGAAGAGGCAGCAGGCTCCTTCTTTCAATTGAAATGCAGCACCTTAGTCTAATGTGAAATCTTGCTGCCAGGTTTTGTCTGTCCACCAAGAGAAGAATGGGGAAGGAAGGCTGGCCTGCAGCTTCTAGACAGACTGCACTTGCCAGTTAATGATCCAGCTGTGTGAGCATCTGCCCAGCAAAGGACTCACTATTTCCATGTCTGGTCCCTAATTGGGAAGGAAGGGACTAAAGATAAACCATCTAGCACTTTAGCTTTCTTTTAGATCCTCAAAGAAAAAGACTCCACCTGTCAAGCCCAAAGAGAGCCCCAGTAGTGCAGCCTCTGGGGCTGACCAGAGGTGAAACCCAGCAGCCAGGACCACAGCAGCACACAGAAAACAGGTTGTCTCAGCTGGTTTGGCATATGCTGTGTATAATCCCTTTACTAACAGGTTCTGACCAGCTGTAAGTTGTGCCTTGTGCTTACTGCAAGTCACTGAGATTTGAGAGTTCTAATTTAATAAAGTAAGTGATATGTAATAGTTGTATGCTCTTTATTAGCCATGTGGCATGGGCTCTAAACCCTGCAAATGCTTGCCCTGGCAGGCTGGTCCTTTCTGGTAACTCCAACTCCCATTTAGTTGTCTTGCTGCACTCGTGGCTTCAACCATGTGGTGGTGGCAAAAGCTTTTCAAATACAGCCCTTTCTGTTCATTGAGTTGAGCCACCTGCCAGAATACAGTGCTTTTGGAGACGCTGGGATATTTCTTACCCAGAAATGAAGCCTAGAGAGAATGTGTTAAGCTCCCTTCTGCTTTAATTTATTTAATCCCTAATAGTCTGCTTTAATGTTCCTAGGTGCAGAGCTCTAGCTGTGTGCACTGTTTCGGTTAGCTTGTTTCTGACATCTGTCTATGAGCAGGAAAAGCAGAAAGCAGCACTGCAGGCTTAATCAGCTGTGAGTGTTGGCAGTCCTTGCAAAGACAGCTCAGCAAGGCACAAAGCTTGTATCCTTGCTCAGAGGACACACAAATCCCAGCTCCAGTTGTATTGTTGCTCATGGGGGAGGGCTAGGGTGTTTGTCAGCTGAAACAAAAGGAGCTAAACCATTCAGCTGTGTTATGATGCCCAAAAGGGCTGGACTCTGGCTAAAACCCAAAGGAGAAAGACATGTGCAAACTGTCGTAGCTGTGTAAGAAGGATTGGAAGCTTAATGGGCATGCCCTACTTTCAGCTAGCTTTGCCATCCTGAAGGTACTAACCAGGACTTGGCCACCAGAGAGGGGAAAATCATGCTGAGAAACAAGTTTCTGTGTTGGTTATGCTGTCTCAGCCCTGCTCTTGCTTTGAGTCCCTCAAAATAAAGGAGACCATGGCTTAGAATAGGCTGGTTTCGATTTGCTCTCGATGTGCAGGTGCAGTCTGTGGGAGGAAAGGAAGGGAAGTGGCATAAAATGAGCCACTCTTTTGTGTCCTCTGCAACTCCTATAAGGCAAGGAGGCTTTTCCATATCCTAGGTTGCTCTCCAATTCAGTCTAATAACAGATGGACTCAGGTTAAATCCCTTTGGCCTCAAGAGTAATTTCACTGTGCTTTTTTTAACTAGTGAAAATGAAACTTTTTTTGGTCCACCCAGAATGCTTTGGAGTAATGCACATGTGCTACTGTCCACTCCTGCACCTTCAAGCAGGGCTTTTTTTCCATTGTTATGTTTCAGATGTGGTATTTCTTTCCTTCTACTACTTTCAAAGAAGAAAGATGCTGGTTTTGCTTCCTACAGGTGGCTGAATCTCAACTGGTACAAAATAAAATCTAGTTCCTTAAGAGCAGCATCTTGCTTCACCTTGGGGCAAATATTTTTCTTACTCTTAGGAGAAAGTATTTACTAGAACTGGCAGGGGAAGTGGAGCGTATCTAAGAATATGACACTGTGTCTCAGGTCCATCATGTTTTACAACCCAAAGTAGTTGGGACACATCTAAAGCTACATCTTCAACTAAGTAAATACCTCTAGGAGCTGTCAGCTATTAGTTTAGACAGGCCATAACACTGCCCTTACTACCAGAGGAGACAAGGCAATTGAGGATATCTTTCATCTGGATGGAGTAGCCAGGGCTAATGTTTGATAAAGGTCTTGTGAAAACTGGGATCAGAGGCGTGGAAGGCCTGAAGCTGAGTTAAGGCTAGTTACTCAGGTTCTGTTGTGTTCAAACCTCCTGAAAGAGCTTGCCAAGCTGACTGAAATCTAAACTAACAGAAACATTTTGAAGTTACTTGCTTTCTCTTCTCTCTTGCTTCAGTTCCCTATCCCTGTGGAGATTTTCAAAGAGGAATCCCCCTCTCTGTGGTGAAAGTGCCTGTGAGCTTTGCTGGTCTGACTGTTTCAGTTTGTGGATGTGTCTCTGTTTGTCAGTTAAGTCAGCAAAATCAGAATAAAAGCAGTTTAATTGGTATAGAAGAGCTCATACCAGTTGCACTGGTGTAAGCTTTGGCTTCACAGTGCTTTTTGGGGGGAACTAAATGAGGTGGTAATATGGTCTCCTCTGCTCTGGCAAGTTGACCCACAGGATTTCATTTTCAATCCAGTCCCTTGAAGGAGATTTTGCATTCTCAGCCTGCTAGCTGAACAGTTCACAGAGGTGATCTGAGAGAGATTTTGGCACAAATCAGTTTGCTTGGCATTACCTGGTGGGATTACAGCTCTCTGCTGTGCCAGGTTTTCTAAGACTAACTCTGCTGCACCAGCAGTTAAGCATGATAAAACATGGTATGTTCAGTCTATACCAATGGGAGAGAAAGCCTGCACACTGAAATGGCACCTGTAGTAAAAGATCTCTCTGTTCCTGGCATAAAGATCAGAGATAAATCCAACCCTGGGGATGTATCTGTCCCTTCCCAACCTCAAAACTGGTGCTAGAGTTTTAGATTCAAGGCCATCTCTGATATTTGCTTTTGGAGTTCATTAGAACTGGATGTCCTGCTTGCCAAGACCTGTAGTTTGAAGGGAGTGGCTGGCTTAGGTCAGCAGTGGTGCTTAGCAGCTTTGCTCAGGCTGCAAGAGCTCCTTGGTTGCTCTCATCATGACCGCTGTTCACAGCAGTGGTGCACAAGAAGGGGCTCCTGCTCTGCTGCCCGGAGCTGACTGCCAGAGCTGTGGCAGAGGTCAGCTCTGCTCTGCTGCCAAAAGCAAAGAAGAGGCTTCCTCATGTGGGGTTTTTAACTTGTCTTGATTTCGCAGGAGCCCTGGCTGGTTTCCAGCTGCTCTGTTTCCATTCAGCTGGCCCAGATCCCCTGGCAGTCCCCTCTGCACTCTGAGTGTTCTCCACTCCCCATCCTAAGCCGGTGTGCAGTGTTGCTGAGGGCCGCTGAACCACGTCCACTTTCCATTCAGTGGCCAGCTGTCCTTCCCTGGTGGGGAAAAGTGATTTATATGCAAGAGAAGGCAAGAGCTGGTACGGCCCAGGGGCAGGAGCCAAAACCACTGGATTTGTTTCACTTCTGTGGCTGATTTCTTGCATCCCCCTGGGCACGTGAGTGAAAATTCACTGTGCCTTGAGTGAAAATTTACTGTGCCTCACTTGCTCTGCTTCTACAGCAGGATCTGCCTCCACTGGGTGTGTGTAAGGAGGCCAAATTGACATTACTCTGGAGTTGCAAATCTGGCATTGAGTGGAAACCGAAAATAAAGGTGGAATTCCGAAAAAAAAACTATTTTTTTCTTCTTTAGTGGGGTTTGACTTTTACCCAAGTTCTTTGAGGAAGGGTTTGGTGGGGCCTGCTGGCTGGGCACCTCCTGAGATCAGCTGGTTTTGTGCTGCCTACATGCCTGACTCCACTGCAGGGAGGCTGCCTGAAACTGGCTGCAATCCTTCTCAGAAGGCATTGCAGCATGGTTAGGCTTTGGTGTGAACTGGAACGAAACCACCCTCTGAAATGCTGAAATTCCCTGCACAGTTCAATTATCCTTGAATTGGCCAGCGGGGAAATCAAAGTCTCTGGATCTGTTCCTCGCTGTTAAATATTAATACGGCACGGAGATGCCAGGCAGAAGGCATCCCCTCGGGTCAGCTCTGTGCAGGAGGGGCTGTCTTGGCTGTGAAGAACCGACCTGCCAGAGAGGTCGGGCACGGGGGACTCTGGAGTGACGTGCCTTGCTCAGACTCCCTGGCAGCCGAGCAGCGCGGGCTCCCAGCCCGTGCTGGGCCACGTTTCCTTTGCCACGGGCTCCTTCTGCAGGAGCTGCCACGTGCTGCCGTGTCGCATCCCTCGTTCCCCGGAGCTTACCGTGTGCCGGGCGCTTTGAGAGGGGCCGGGCAAGGCACGGTGCCCCCGTGCCCCGCCCCGCCGCCTCCTGCGCCGGGGGAGCCAGCGGTGTGTGACAGCGAGCCCGTGTTCGACATCCGCGCAGGCAGCCTCCCCGCCGGCCCAGGTGCAGCTGCGGGCTGGGTACCACAGCCCCGTGGGCTCTGCGTGTCACGGGAGGCAGCACCGAGCTGGGGCGAGGACAAAAACAACGAGAGAGAACACCTCCCCTTGGGAAACACGGCCCTGGTGTGCCGGTCTGCTCTAGCCTCTGGATCCCAACACCCTCTTGGCACTAGGACGAGCTGTGCCAGGCCCAGCTGAAGCACCTGTGCTCAGGCATGCTGGAAAAAACTAAAAGCCCAGCCAGCATAAAAAAAACTGCTAAGGAGGCTTTTCCCATTTTCTGTCAGTATGGAGTATTGCTTTTCTGTTTTCCCATGAAAGCTCTCTGGTCCTGCTATGTGCTCACCGTGCAGTGACAGGGTGACAGTGCCATCTTGTGAGTGGGCCTGCCTTGCTCCTGCCCTGTACTCGGACTGTTGGAACATCTCGGGTGTTTGTTGAGGGCTGGAAGTCCTTGGGGCACTATCATTGTCTGCACTGGTCAGCTCAAAGCTCTCCTGAACCTCTGTGCTGGCCACTCTCCTCATTTTGACAGCAGCATTGGCATTGCCCCCGTGTGAATATTCAGTTTTTTCCCCCCACTGCTGTTTCTTTTGCTTGCTCTTCTAGAGATCACAGATGTGAAGCCAGGGCTGCATTTGCCTCAGTGAGTAACAACCTGTGGCTCGTGTGGTGGTGGAGTATCTCTCTTTAAAGAGGGGTGCCAGAATCAACTAATTAATCCTCATTCCCCTGTGGGACTGAGGAGTGACTCAGTGCCTCGTGCTGTTGTGCTGAACAGCAGAGGATCAAAGGCATTGGAGCTGGGGAAGCCCTGGGATAGCAGTGTCACAGGCACCTGTAAAGGCTCAATCTTGTGCACTTATCTCCAGGACTTTTTTTAGCCGTGCAGGGAATTGAAAACTCTGCCGCCTTAGAGACAAGGCTGGAGCTGCCCTCACCTTGCTCCAGAGGGAGTGTTTTCACCTGAGGTTGCCTTTTTACCTTTTCATTGCAACGCCACTGGGCCACCCTGAGCAATTCTCCCTCCTGACCTACAGGTCCCTCACTGCACACACTATCTGTCTGGGTGAAGGGGAGGCTTAGGCACTGCTGACATCGAGCTGTGGTGGTGATGCATGTCCCTCTTGGGCATTGTAACACGCAGCACGCTGCACGCCAGGCTGTGCCAGCATGGCTTGGCAGCCCTGAAGAAGTGCAAACAAGCCCCTACACCTGGCCTTGGGCTGCCCTGGCATCCATCATGCTGCTGTGTGAGCTGCTCGCAGGGAAGGCAAGGGGAGCTGCTTGCACGCAGATGTTGTGTAATACAGACCTAGTTCAAACACAAGTTTGCAGGCTGGAAAGCCTTTGCCCAGTCTAGGGGGAAGAGGAAGACCCTCTGGGACAAGGGCTGCTGCACTGCATCTTCTGCTCTGTGTTATAAAGAGATGAAACATGAAGCATGTGCTTTCTTCCAAACCTGGGTCTTACCCAGGCTGCATGTGGAGCATCACCTGTGAGAGCCCCCCTGAGTGTGCATGAGCTGTGGTTTGGCTGAGCTCAGCCACTGTATGGGACTAATACATAGTGATGGTGTCCTATAAATTATATAGTCGGCATGTTCACCATCTGCTCTGCACTGAAAGCTGACTGTGATTGAGATCTTCCCCCTTTCCCAGAGCTTGACTCTTGCCAAGCTTGAAATGTGTGTGTGTATCTCCCGTAAGTGGTTCTGATTGAATCAGGTAAAGAGGGAATTTTTTAAGCAGGCTGCAATGTTCCCTGCACCCAAAGTGAGAGCTGAAGCAGCGGCCAACATCCCATTATAAGGCTATGAGTAAAACTGAGTCTGATTTCATGTTAATTAGGTTCTAAAGGGACTGAATCTTGATTGCAGTGGTCATATCAAAGATTTAAAATAGTAATGCAAAAAGCAAAGGAAACCCCACAGTGATTCATATAAGAAGGGGAAATAAAGACAGTCATGGAGGAAGAAGGAGTTTGAGGGGGCCTGAATTGCTCTGCTGCCCAAAAGCAGGAGGGGATTTGAATCAGATTATCCTCATTAGATGTCTCTTTAAAGCATCATCAAGCCAGATGAATGGTCTGGGGGAGAGCTTGCAGGCATGGTGGCTGTGATTATCACCAGGGATTTGCAGTCCTAGTTATCTAGCTTAGAGACAAGATTATTAGGGGGTATAAAGCTGTTCCTGCCCTCAGCCTCTAATGTGCATTTTCAGGCTGGGTGATGGGAAGCGCTGAGTTGCTGCACAGCCCCTCGGAAGGCTGCCTGCATTCTCTGGTGGTCTAGCCCTCTCTGCAGGGCTGGCCAGGAGATCTTCCAGGGGGATGGACAGGCAGCCTTCCCTGGGCACTGTGGCAAAGGGCACCAGCTCCCATACAGGTACTTGCACTGTGATAGGAAGTGTGGAAGGGATCTTGGGAGGGGGGATTTTATTTGCCTGCCTTGGCAGAACCGTTTGCTCCCCACAGCATCTCCCTTCTTGTGACAGCCACTGCCAAAGCAACTCATCCTTCCTCCAGCTAGAGCCTTGAAGCCACAAAGGCTCAGAAGCTGGTGTGGCTGATACAGAGGGAATGCCTGTGAGCTGTGAGGAGGGCTCTCCTCTTGAAAGGGAATCAATGGAGATTGCCCACAGGTTCCTTGGAGTTCATTCTCAGGGGTGGTGGATATGGCACAGGGCTGCTGGCAGTCACTCTCCACCTCCTCAGCCCTGCAGCTGCAGCAGCTTTTCATCCTCCCCTTTATCTCCTTCCCTAGTCTGCATGTTGCACTCCTGTTTCTTCTCCGACTTTGGCAGGATGGCCAAGGCATTGTGCCCAGGTGCCAGCCAGGAGACGAGGTGCACAGCCAAATCCACCTGTCAGTTCGCTTGTAACATTGCATCCTTAATACAGTCATGGAAATTCATAGCATTACTCTGCACTCAAGCCTGTACAAATAAAATCATTCTGGCCTTTTTACAGCAGGCTGAACCTAAAAGTCTGTGGGAAGCTGGAGG